CTTGCTAAACGAGTGAAACTGCAGAGCACACACTATCCGCTGTGGAACAGATGCAGAATGACCGAGGTTTGGAAGTTCTTGCTGTGGCATTAGCTTCAACCGAGAATGTGAAATGGAATGAAGCTGATTAAAGGGAAAACCACATTCTTTCCAGGAAGAGGAATCACATCTTTGGTGACAAGCTGCGGCCAAAGCCAAGAGTACCTGCAACTTAAAGCCGTACACACATGACAAACTCTCTCATTCCAAGATGTGTTAGCCACCAAACTATGAAGCAGTGCCTTATTAACGCGATGTGAATGCGGCCGACATTTTTATCATTTTATTTACTGCAATTCGGTTTGCATCCGGTGGCAGTGGTCCTTACTCTACACAATTACAACAAAATACATATAATATAAACAAGTACACTTCATAAACACCCTACAGACATACCTAGACATCCACACCATACACAAACACACACACAATACAAAAAAAACACACACACACATTTCACGGTTTATCACCAAGTTTCTGGGGAATGTTGTGAATGTACAGTGGAAAAGGAGAGGTTACGGTGCAATTGGTGTAGGTCTGAGGAAAATGACACGTATGACAATTTTAATTTTTAATGTTGCCAACAATCCAAAATGTTTTCATCTTGTATGGGAGCTCGAAACTGTCAGGTGAAATTTCAATATGAATTATACCAACTATTAAACTTTAAAAAAAACAACCAAAAAAAAAACAAAAACAAAAAAACATAGTGCTGGAACAGTGTTATTGCGACCCCTATATACAAATGCCATGCTTAGAGCAATTTTCTCAGTTTTATTTATTAATTTACTTGTTTACTTAGCAATGCTGTCAGTAATTCTATTTCTACCACGCTACACAGCACTGGATAATAGGTCAGTAGTGAATTAGAGTTCTTCATCACTGAACAGGTTCTCGGTGGGCGCTAGCAACTGCATGCCTACAAGTTACCATCAACATCTGAGTAAGCACCTCAAGTCAACCCACCACGCTTGCTAAACGAGTGAAACTGCAGAGCACACACTATCCGCTGTGGAACAGATGCAGAATGACCGAGGTTTGGAAGTTCTTGCTGTGGCATTAGCTTCAACCGAGAATGTGAAATGGAATGAAGCTGATTAAAGGGAAAACCACATTCTTTCCAGGAAGAGGAATCACATCTCTGGTGACAAGCTGCGGCCAAAGCCAAGAGTACCTGCAACTTAAAGCCTTACACACACATGACAAACTCTCTCATTCCAACATGTGTTAGCCACCACACTATGAAGCAGTGCCTTATTAACGCAATGTGAATGCGGCCGACATTTTTATTATTTTTCTCACCCTCTATAGAACACCCTACACACATAACTAGACATCCACACCTTACACGGACACACACACGCATTTCACATGATTGACATACTAAGTTGGTATCACACCTGAAACACAATTATCACAACAGAGCAAGCCCCTGCGAATGGGTTAAATAACAGCCTACTGCACCACGTCTCCAGAGGCACACAAAATTTACATGCTGCATTCAGTCCTCTTCTCCATGTACGCACTGAGCAACAGGACGGCCAACCATCGGGGACACAAGTGGTCTTCTTTCGGATGTCAGTCTGTCTAGTGTTGGTGTACTCCTGCTGCAATATACCAGGAAAGGTGTAAGATACACATGAAATCTTGAATCTCAGAGGCCACTTTCATAGACATTGGAGGCAAAGTCGTCTGAAATGGAACAAACTCATGCCAACTTATTTTTCTAATGGGTGACTGCTGCTTATTCAAATATTTAATCTGAAATTGAGGGGGGGGGGGCAATCCTGTTCATAGACATACCAGGGATTAACCGCATAGGACCAAACATCCAACTTGCAATCAGCCTCTGTCAGAGCATTACCGTTGCTTGACAGAAAAAGTATTTCTCTTCCAACTTGGTACATATTCTGAATATTTATCCACTTAATATTCTTTGTGATATGAAGTCAGAAGACAGTTTCCTTAATGCGCTGGTTTCGCACATTAATTACGAGGAATCTTTCTCCAAAGGCTACAAATGTTACTCCTTATTCTTTGTTTACTACGCCAACAAGGTTGGTAACTTGTAAAGTGATTTATTGACAATGGAGTTTCATATCTGTACTCACTTTTATTGCGGGATTTGAGCACTTTGTTCTGGTTAAAAACCTATATCCCACTACCCTGTATTATTTAGATTACATACTTCTTCTACTGGTGCCTCTTATGAACAGACAGACAGACACACTCACTCACATCCAGTTATGTAGCTCTAAATAGGATAAGTAGTGATGCTAGTCCAGACCAAAGGTTGCAGTCTGTTGAAATGCAGTTTTCAGAGGAAATTTTGTTATTTTGTACCTAACTAGCATGTATCTTATATTTAAGGATACTCTCTTGAAAAATACCTAAAATTCTACTATCGTCTGACCTTACCATCAGTATGACCTGTTATCACTGGAGGTATTTAGTGGGTTACAACGTCATGAGGTTGACTTACTAGACCAAACACGGGACCAAGGAACACCATGGAGAACTGAAGTCGAGAGCCCTGATAAAATATTCTAATTAGTGTGGAGGATATGATGGCAGTCTCTAATGACCAATGGATTCCACAGAAAGCACAGAATCTGACCAACTGAGTGACTATTAATTGAAAGGTGGACTCTGTGCATCTGCAAAATAGAGAGAGCAGTGAAAGGGTTACCATAGTCAGGATGATTCCAAATTACTTTCATGAAGGCCTCCCAAATGAAGAAAAGTATTTATTTGTATGACAATACACATTACCATATATATATGTACATTCTATCCAGTATAGTAACTGTAATGATAATACATGTTAAGACTTGTTTCATAGAGCTATTGTTGAATTTGAAATCAAACTTTTCTAATCACAATGCAAGAGATAAAGACTCTCATGCTGTAAGGAACATAAAATGACAGGATAGAAAACAAGTGTTCAAACTAGTATGTGCACACAAAATACCGAAATTTCTAACAATACAGAAAATACTGTATTTTTATCTTTATGACAACTGTTTATTCTTGAAAATATTAAAATTAAAGTTTAATATTGCTCTGAATTACTTGCTGGGCTGAGACATCCTATGTTCACAGGAATATTTATGCTCAGAAAGAAGACATAAAAGTAAAGCACGCTTACTGGCCATATACATTCTCATCACTGTAAGCGATGTACAGGAAGGAATCCTCCTCATGATGCTCCTGAAAACCATCAGCAACAGTTAGACTTAAGCCATATAATGTGGAGGAAATGCCAAACTAAAATTTTTGTCAATCTAATTTTATGCCTGTAGCTTACAATAAATTTTAGATTTAACAAATGGACATTAGTAGATAATACTGTGATACCCAGAACAAGATTCAATCAACAATTTAATTACACATAATAAAATTAGACTGTACACTAAAACACACACTCATGGCGCAGGAATTATCTATTATACAAATAAGAAGTCCTCTGCGTGAAAGGTAACTCTGTTTCACATACCTTGGTCCTTGCAGTGCAATAAATGTCAAAGAAGGCATTGATAAAGTTGTTCCTATGCCAAAGCACCTTGGAGGTAAAGCTCCACTCATTCAAAGAATACAGTACTTACATTTTTATTTATTAGTGCCTCAGTTGAAGACACTGTCAGTTCCTCAGACTATACAGTGTTAGGCTGATTAATGAGAAATGTGGAAGGAAGTGGCCATGGCCTAGTTTAAGGTATTATACTAGAATATATGTCTAGAGGGCCTGAGAAAGACGACATGAGATGAATCGGGCACCTCCTGAATATGAAGCAGGAGTGCCAATCACTTGCTTCCAGCAATCTGTAGTTACCCTGAAATAAGGAGCAGACGTTACCTGGTAGAGGCAGCCCATTGCAGCACTGGTTGGGGGGATCACGTTATTGACAAAGAAGAACAAGGCATCCTCAGGACGCAGGTGGATTCTCTTCCTTATAAGGAAGTAGAACTGGCCCACTGTCAGGTCTGATGGAACTAGGTACTTCTTCTTGTCCAGATCACCAATCCTTGCCTTTGGGGCTTTCTCCACAATCACCTACATAGACAAAAGCAATTACAGACAGTGAATCTTTGTTATGGCCTCATGAACTGATCCCCCACTGCAATGTCTAGAGCTGACCAGCAAGAGATTATTTCAATGCTACATATCAAATGCAAACAGCATCAGACAAGAGGATATTTATTTACAGTGTGGGGAAAGGATTGGGAAGAAAGCAATGACATTTTGTTTCAAAGTGCTACTAATATCTGAACTCAATTCCAGAACAGTCACATCTCTCACAAAGAGATCATTTAACCAACATGAGGATCAGATGCTTAAAACAACATACGGGAACTTGCTTTCAGTCATAATATACACAACTCCACGGTACAGAGAAATTCTGCACTGTCGTGGAATTTGAAGGTTCATAACTATCACAACAAGAACCTGCTACTAGAAACTATTATGACCCTAATAACTTATTTTATAAATTTCCTTTCATAATCTTCCCCTTTACATCTCAGTCAGGGACATATCCTCTTTCCATGAGGTTTCTCAACAGAAATGGTGAATTTCTGCAAATGTGTTGATACAACATATTATTTTGGAAAACAATGTCATGTAAGTACTGGAATTAAAATTAAACCACAGAAACACCATACATAATGAAGATTGAGATCTGCAACTGAGTACACATGTATTTCCTTAAGAGTTGGTTTGCAGGCACGCCAATTTACAATTTTTGTGTTTTATTTCCACAAGTTGCAATGATTGACTTATTGCTGGGAGCCATTAGTTAACAGTGGTCTGAATGTTGGCGTCAGGTCTGATGAATTCCAGAAAGCACCACTATAACTGAATGAGCCAGGTAATCAGTCAGTATAGTGACTACTATGGGCTGGATGACCAGGGTTTGGTCCCTGACCAGGGCAGAGCATTTTTCTCTAGCTTCCATGCTGGCTCTGGGACCCACCCAGCCTCCTGCCAAATCTGGGGGGGGGGGGGGGCCTTTCCCGGGGGTATGATGCTGACCACTCACCCCATCTACTGCCTCCATATCATGCAGTTGGGGCAGCTTTACATTTTTCTTAACATTACAACTTAATTATGTAAGTGTAAATTTAGTTAACACTAACAAACATATTAAGAAGGGAAAACACTTGCAAACAATTCAAATCCTAAACTGTGCAAAATTAAATTTCACAGTAATCTCTTGATGCTAAGAAAAATATTTCTGGACTTAATGTACCAAAAATACAGGATGTTTAAAACTATCAGATCACAGAAAACAAGCCAAATTGCAATGGTTACAGAATCTGAGCCACATACATGTAGATAATCTAAACAATGTATGGTGTGAAGCTAGTAAACATTGCAAGAACAAATACAGGGAATATCAGAGGCAGGAAATCAATTAGCTTTCAACCCATAGTAAAAACAAGAACACTAGAGACTTGTACAGAGGCAAAAATGAATTTATGAAGGGTTACTAACCTAGAAGTAACTTGGTAAAGGATCAGACTGGTGATCAGCTTGGAGGTAGCCACAACATTTTGAACAGGTGGAAGAATTACTTCTCTAAGCTCACGAATGTACATGGGGTCAATGATGTTAGACAGATGGAAATAACATACAGCAGAGCCATTAGTACCTGAGCCTAGTCCCTTTGAGATTAAAATTGCTATTGCAAAGCTGAAGAGCTATAAATCACAAGGTAGTGATCAAATTCCAGCAGAAATAATTCAAGTAGGAGGTGAAGCATTACGTTATGAGATCCATAAACGCCTCAATTCTATTTGGAACAAGGAATAATTGCCTCAGCAGTGGAAGGAGTCTATTCTTGTACCAAGCATATGATTCAGTTGGAAGGAAAGTATTGTACAATATTCTCTCAGAGTCTGGTATATCCATGAAACTAGACAAATATTTTATATAGGTAAATATTTGTTTGACATGTTTCCTATTCAAAACGGTCAAAAACAAAGAGAAGCTTCATCACCACGGCTTTTCAACTTTGCTTTAAAACATGCTCCTTGGAGGAACTATGTATCAATAATAATTCTATGACGCAAGAATGTGTCGTTTCAAACAAAGCAACGGCCTTGAAATGTTCAGCTAGGATCCTGGGTCAATACAATGGTTTCTCACCTGTAACTCAACACTTCTCAAACAAAGAACCTGCCAAAAATCTTCCCTGGCACACATATTGCAATCAAACCAATATCATGAATGCCCTTTTGTTTCGAATCTCGAAGTATAAGTGTAATACTTACTGGAACTCTATCCGGGTATTTCTTTCTAATTTTTTCTCCCTCAGCCTTCCTCTTTTCGAATGGATGTTCTTCTTTGTATTGGAATTTCATGCTTTCAAACGAACACACGCTATTCGTATGATTATCCAAACAAATATGATTTATAAGATTTTTCGTAATGACATCGACCGGACCTCGGAACTCCAACACAAAACAGCTGACTACGCATATCCGCTTCCTTGTGTGCTAGAATATAGTTCCAAATTGAGTTCACTTTACTAACTTAATTAACTTGAAGCTAAGAGAACGCGTTCGTAGGTTACACGAAATTATTATAATTCTTAATTAGTAGCTCTAAGTAGAAACTTAGTGTTGTTAATAATACGTTAAACGTCATTGATGGGGTTAAATGTATTCCTACTCAATTACGTCATACCTCAATGTCTTCCTCGTGACATGGGCGGAATTTGGAAACCAGCTAATATCCTTTTTAGTCAAACACAATATACTTAATAAATTGCAGTTTGGATTAATGAAAAACAACCTAGTCACTGTACCGAAATACAATAATGACGAAGCCTCTCTGCTGGTTGCGTGAATGCCAAGACCACTTATTTCATTTGTCTGCATGTAGATACATTTCATTGTTTTGTATGACGGCTTCCTGTAAACAACCTACTCCAAATTTACAATGAAAGTCCTTTTTCACAGTCAAATATGCATTGTAAGTATTCCAAAGTATCTTCGATCACAGAACAAAATTTCTGTAAAAAGAACAATTTTGATTAAATTAATATTCCTAGTATTTTTTTAATGTCCATCATATCTACACATATTTCTAAGTGCTTTGAACTATGGAAGACTTTTTAAGGCCTTGACTGTACCTTGCAATGCAACACAAAACACAGATAAATGTAATATACATGTACTGTCACTAAACAGTTGTCAAGGGCTGCAGAAAACCTTTAAAAAATGTGACCTATCCTGTTCTTGATGCAAAATGTCACTACTGACATGTTCCTTAAACACATTTTGCAGGTTATATTAGTGTGTCACAGATGACAATATCTGCATGTGACAAGTGTGCATGTTCTGGAAGCCCAGAATTTGGATTCTGAATCTGACACACGAAGGGAGACAAATCAGGAAGCAACCATGTGAAACATCATGCGGACAAATCATTTATTAAACAGCAAGTACACAATTCTTTTGTACCCGTTGAATGAATGGGACTAATCGTTGTCTTCTTCTTCTTCATCCTCCTGGCTATTGATCTGGAACACATACACAACCGTCATTTAATAATATCTCATGAACACATGATGAAGAACCTTATTTGGAGCCTGATACGGGAACAAAATTTGCTCTGGCAACCATCATGTTCAGAATGACTAAAGGAAATATAAGCAGTGTAACAATTCTGGAGCTTTTGCCACAATTTAACCTCTCACCTGTAACCAACACAGACAGGAAATTTACCCTCACTCACTTCAGAGTGAAAATACATTTGCAAAGTTTGTGTCATTTCTGTACAGTTTTAATGAAAACTTTAATGCAATGACAAACTTTTGCAAAAATCCACAATTCCAAATTTAATGAAAATCTGTTCAGATGTTTCATACACACAGGCAGAAAGAATAATTTTAACAAGCAGTTGACGGGGATGCCCATGCACCTGAAAAGGATCGGATGAATTGGACATAAGAAATGCATAAACATTTTGGTTGGAAAATCTCATATGAAAAATTAACACTGGAATTATTAGCTAAATCCATGGAGCAGTATCCTTGAGAAGCCAAGATTTGCCAGGTGGCAAAGAAAATCACTACCTTTTATGGATTCTGAAAACCAGTAATGTGTTCAATCTACATTGATTTCGCTTGAATTTTGAAACAATTGTAATTTAGTCTGCTTATGTTTGTCTACTAATTTTGAGCACTAATCAAACCATGGTTTACCATGCTTTAGTTTGTTATATCACAAGAGTTTGAAAATCAAAAAATAAATATCCTACATCTACACAGCCATCCAAACTGTTTGAAACAGACTTTCAAACCTTCACAACAACAAGCACACTTTCATGTCCACCACGCTACATGAGAATCAAACCACAGCTCCTTACCTGGAAGTATCTCAGTTCATAGGTGTCTTTCCCGCTCGCAACAACCCGCAGCCAATCACGCAGGTTATTTTTCTTTAAATACTTCTTTGTAAGGTATTTTAGATACCTGACAAAAAAAATATATTCAAAGACATGTATTCTGCAATTTATTCAAAACAGGAAAACAATGAAAAAATTTTCACTATGAATTTCTCTTCTGTTTCACTGACAGTATGAAGCAGGTGAAATGAGCTGAAGAATTAGTTATCATAACACATGTTTCTTTCAAGATTTTCATTAAGTTTAAATAACAGAAGCACGATCAGAAAACGGAATCTTCGTCATAGATCAACCTATCAGGTGAAAACACCAACAAATAAATGCTGCTTGTGGTTACCTTTTAGAGAACGGAATGTCAGAATTAACAGACAGCTTCATCTTGTTGCGCTCCAGATTGACCACATTGCCAAAATTATTAGTCTTGCCATTCACCTTGATGCGCTCTTGCAGGTACTTCTCCTAAAAAAAAATGCTGTAACAATGATCTGCTGGTTGTGATGGTACAGTAGGGGGCACCCCTTCATATATCAGAACTGAAGGATGAGATTGGGGGTCATGCAGCACAAATAGATGTTGAGTAATACCTAGGCGTAGATGGGAGGTTACTAAAGAAACATGGTGTGACAATGTGCAGAGGAGTCATCTGGCTGAGGACAGTGACTAACTGTGAACAACGCAATCAACCTTTGGGTTCCACAAATGGCACGGAACTTCTAACCAAAGTTTCTCATTGGCTTACCAAGATCTCACTACATGGAGTGAGTTTAGTTAGCCCCCATCTGATCCTCCTCATACTACTGTTAAAACAATGAATACCATAGCACTGGTATTTTATGGCTTTTGACTATAGCTACTGTAATGTGAAACTCACCATCACTCCAATGACAAAGTAGTATACAAATAACAATGCTACTGCAGGATGTTAGGATTTACAATTAAACAGCTGAAAACAATAACAGGGACGTGGTGCACACAAGAAAAAATGTAGGACCATTACATGCATTATGTAAACTGGAATGGGAACAACTTTACAATATGGTGACCACATACTTGAATCTAATCGACTACCAAACTTCTCACAAAATGTGTTTCTATTTATACGGACTAGACTCAATACAACGTAATGTATATTGAACTAAAACATATAAACCCAAAAAGCACTTACATCTGTTAGAAACAACTAAGAGATGAATGTCAAACATTTGTTCCACCTTTGCCAGTAGTTAGCCCACACACATAGAATAGAACTGATTTACATTCCACTGTTCCTTCATAGGACTAAGCCAAGGATGTTTAATGTCATAGCACAAATAAAATACTTGTTTCCTGGAATGCCAATCCAATGCAAGTGAACAGTGGGTGATAAATGGTCACCAAATAATAAACACTGAGCCATCTGAGGTTTATTTAGTTACTAGACTTGAAGTAAATATTCTCAGACACCCAACCCTTTTACCCTGATAAGGAATGCTGTCAAGTCAACACACATGGAAAAGATATATGGGAAAAACAACCCACCATGGTGAAAATTCCTACAGAATTAATTTACTAGGGCTTGTAGAACCCTTTCTACATTACTTATAGGAAGTGGCCACTGCATTGTAAAATTATGTGACAATAATTGTGAATGAAACCCCCCATTTATAAAAAAAAGAAAGAATACAAGTGGCCACTGTAATGTAAAGTTTGTTTAATTTCCACTTTTCAAGCACTATACTGCAGTTGTTAATGCTATTACTGTGCACACTTGATTTTCTTCTATAATGAACGTATTAACAGAAACCACCCATCAGCTACCAGACTTACAAAACTGGCAACATCCATAATATTGTCTTCAACAGGATGCGTGCAGTCAACTGTAAACTTCAGGGAAATTTTTTTCTTCTTTTGGCCCTTGGCCCTTATATGTTGCTGCTTCTTTGGCTTCTTCACAACTGCTGGCTAAAACATATTCAAAATTTTAAAAGAAATCACTCATTCAAAATAACGCAATAATAAATGCAGAGCTTCAACCGGACTGTTGGTAGCACTGGTCGCTAATACGGCTGAAGAGCTAGATGAATTACATCCACTAATAAGAGTGACCTATTATACATCAATACATTTTCTTGTATTATTTGCTCCAAATTATATGGTATCTTCAAAGTTCGTCATAGCAAAGCAGTCTGCCGCCATATAAATTTGGAAAAATTGCCACGGTAGGCATGTTAATTTCTTCCTACGGCAGACACATGAAAAGCAACACGAAAACCATTAAAAATAAACCTAAAATACAGTGCTTATGCCACAATACAACTTATTATAGGTACACACATCATTATCCACTACATTTTTTAAAAAATGTATGATCCAACACACTTACTACAGGCATTTTTCAAGACAATTCCTAGGCACACTCCTACTTTCAACCCGTAGCTAAACGTGCTCACATAGAAACGGAAGTTCACCGCACAGGAAGTACCATGCAACCACTGGCAAAAGCATTTTCATTCGTATCTGTGATACTTAGGACCAACCTGTCCTGTACTTAAATCTCAGTATAGATTCAGTTACTTAACATTATTATTATTAATTTGCACACTTTCATCTTTCGTAATATTATTATATTCACATTTCCTTATATGAATATATTGTTATCGGTAATACAAACCGTGCACAAAGAACTAAGCAATGAAAGCCACGTAATCTGTATTGTATGCAATCAATGCGCGGATCGAAAATGTGCCGTACAACAAAATCTTACTGGCTGTAACTTTTGCACATACAACCTATAGTTTCCACGCATAAACTTCTACGATCTACATTTCTATGGCACTTAGTAATTATTAAACGGGCTTATTCCCCGCCTCAAGGCTTGTTCCACTTCAATCACGACATGCGAAATTTTCTAGCAGTTTCCATTTTATCTTTTCATTTCTTTCAGTATTGCTTAGAATCAAGTCACATTTATAAAAACTGGCATCAATTAAAAATCTTTTGTCAACACCCTATGAAACTTTTTCCCAAAAGTTACTTTCATTCCATTCCATACACCTGTTATCTGTAAATATCAAAATTTTTGTTGCTTCACTGTCATACTGTTTTGCTTGCCCATTTAATAGCACAGAAGACACTTCCCTATGCCCTTTAACCATTTTGGTGACTTTTATCAATGAAAAGATCACTAGTAATACAGCTGTCATTTTTACTAATGAGACCGTCAGGTTTACTCTGTAGTAGCTTAATCTATAACTGCTAATCACAACTCTGCTACTTAAAGCATCAGCTAACATAGTAAAGCACTACACAAGCATCGTACATCACATCCACATATTTCTGTTTGGTGCGGCCATTCAAACCCTCAAACAGTATCACATCTGAATATGCATTCTAAATCACAACCTGTATCTGAACACATGTGAAATTGCTACATAGCCACACATACCAGCAAATTTGAAATGAAGCATGTCCAAGCACAGTGTGAGCACTGAATTGTTACTTCTGAAATCAAAGATGGCCTCTGACAATACAAAAGCAAATGGGAGAATATTAGAAACATGTGGTGAATGAAACTAAAATGGACCAGAAATTTCCAATGGCTGTTATGGCAGTGCTGAACCTCCAGATTCTGAATGTAGTACAGAAAACTGAAAAACCTCATATGGCATTCTACAGCATTAAGGAGCCATGTTTGTTTTGTGCTAATATCCGGTGAAAAAGAAAAGCAATGTGGTTAAAACAATTTACTGCTTCTTTCTGAGATCACTTACAGACTTTCATACTATATTTTACAAAACCTCAAATTCACAGTATTGAAAGAAATGATACAAGTTACTTGTACATATATTTAATAAAAACATATAGTTCTTACACCTCACTCAGATCCTCCAAAATGTAGCAGAGGAAGATTGTGCAACAAACTGGCAATAACAGTGTTGAAGAAGGGGATAAGAGTCAGTAGAGTAACAGGATATTTACGTAAGAACCATACACCAATCCACAGCAAAATTGGATACATGGTAAGTGGAGTAGATCCAGTTACAATTCTGAAGTTCGTAGTTCAAACACACTGCGATGGAAGTCTCACTCCATGTAAAAAGAACCTAGAGCTGGCCGAATAGATATTTTGAACATGTATTTTTTCTAGTACACCACATCAGTTCAGAATCACGGCAGGAGATTAAAATCAACAAAGCTCTCTTCTGGGTTGTTGCACTGTATGGTCCGGTAGAAGTTTACCAACGTTTCAGAGGTTGTGCTGATGATGTAGGCAGCAAATACCTTCTACCAGACTACAACCCAGAAGACAGCCATCTTCCTACTCACCAAGGATAGAACCTGAAATCCTACAATCTTTCGAAATGTTGCAACTACAACTGCTAAGACGAACAGAAATACTGGAGTTAGTAGCAAACAGGCAGCTGAATTTAGGTTCTTTTGAGGTGCAGTACGCAGAACACAAAGTGATTGAGACACAGTACGGTTCACATCAGGTAAGCGCCAACACTTTGTAACAAAACCATTCCTCCCCTTCTTTCAAGCACTTACTGCAGTGAAGTCCAGAGCTTACATCTACAACCACCAACTGCTACATTTCATAACACTAAAATGTTCCACTACCAATTATTCTGGACCAACTCTCCTTGCAGAAAGATTATTTTCAATCTGGCACCATCTTCCATTGTGTGTTTACAAGCTGTCTCACATCCACACATCAACTCACCAGGGTTTGTTCTGCAGTGACAAGCTTACAAAGTCATCAACGTAGACCACAACACTGACCATGAAGTGTCTGACCAATCCAGTTGTTCCCATCATTCATGACCCATTTCAAGTGTGTGAAGAATTCTTCCTCATGCGTGGATACTCTCTCATCTGACTTAGGGTTGCAGCTGATGGAAGTTGGGAAACACTGAATCAATTAAAGGACAGAAATTACAGTATGACAACGTGTATACTTTAAAGATACAGTTGTGTTTAAAGCCTCACTATGAACGCTCTGAAAGAAAGTCTGTGAACATTACACATAAAATATAAGAAATTTATGCTTACACAAGGTCATAGCAAGTAGTGCGCTACAAGTTCATCCACTTTGCAGCAACATGATTCTACGAAGTCACAACGCAGCAACTTCTGTGGAAAGGGAAATTAAAACTTCCTGGAGGCTTCGGTCGTGACCACAGTTTTGAAGTCTATCTCATTACCAGATCCAGATAAGAATGATGTTTTTTACTCCAGCCCCCCCCACCCACTGTGAGATCTCCACCAAAATCCAATAACCTATATACACAAACACTGGAGCAGGCAATCCATTTAATTTCTCACTTTCAAGATACAGCCATGGTATCGATGGCTACTGTATCATCCATCAGAGCTCCCATTCTCTTAGAGCAGTGCTGCATCAATTGCATGTAGTGCTTGCACTGAGCAAATACGTTTTCAAGCCCAATGTATCAACACTATTACACACAAAATAAAATGCAAGGCAAGAATGACAAATGGTTCATAAAATCAAGATATACAATGATTCTCTTCATGAGAAACTATGATGTGTGAGAATGAAACTGGAAAGAAATTTCTTTTTTCTTTTTGGTGGTGTGTAAATATGCTCAACAGCATTACACCAAAGATCTGCTGTGGGGATGAACCACGTTGAAATACTCATGAAAATGTAATATAATTCTGGATTTTAATAAGCTTAAAATCAGGAAAGACCCAATTCTAGATTCAGAGTAATACAGCACGCAGCTTGCAACATATACAGTGCAAAGACCTTGGATAAGTCCCAAAAGTAAAGCCAAGGTTCACTTTTTGTAACAGAGTCTCTTTTTCAAGACACGCTGATAATGCGCTTCTGACCTCGACCCACTGGCATGGAACATTCATACAGGTATCCAGTTACTTTACGTGATGTCATTCATTGTATCCAAACACAACTCACTGCAATTGTTCGTGTAACCGATCTAAAAAATAACGGCGTCTTAACATCAAATTTTTGTATCCAAAATTCTACACATAAATAAATACATTCAGAAGAAATAATGGCAGAAACAAAGGGCAACGTTTTCACCAACAGTGAATGGGTGAAGTGAAAATGTCCATTGTGATGCAAATGTGTGGGAAAATGCACGTCCTGGGTAATTAATGTATTCAGCAATTTTAAATCAGTTATTTAAATTACTCAAGTTTTGCAGACTATATTTCTTGAATTCCAATTCACGAAAATGGAATTTTTCATTTGATTTCATAATTACACCACCATTCCCATCCACTGAAACTTCACCTTCAATTCTGAATGCTGTATGCCGGTGAGTTGAGAGTTAGAGTTTGGACAGTATGGCTATCACAGTCTCATCTACGTTCCTTGCTTCGTATCCTGTCATCATCCAGCCCCCGTGAAGTGTGTTTGCTACGTGACTTGCTGCTCAGCTTGTCAGAACCTGTGTAGTACTTCTCATAGCGGTCATAACTCTCAGACCGCGATCGTTCGGCTCCACGTCGACCATCGTGACTGTGCGACCTCGACCGGTAACGCCCTTTGTCCCTAAAACAAAGGAATGGCTTACCAACATCATGAACTTTTCATAAGATTTAAGTATCAAGGTACCACACACTAGATTTTAATTGAAATGGAGAAGACTTTCTGAATCACAGTAACACGTGCATTTCGCAAAAGAGGCAGATGAACACACTGCTTCAAGGCATGTAGAGTATGTCCTGTCTGACCAAGGACTGCTGCAGACAAACTCTGGAAACTGCGCTGATGACTGGTGATATAAGCTATACAGTACTGTAAATGCAGCCTCTCCCTTTCCTTCTCTTCTCCCGTGTATAGGCACCGTACAACACGAGCAGTCATGACAACCTTCCGACAAAATCGGAAAGCCACGATCAGATGGGATACACATATAGAGTAAACATTACTAACTCGGCAGTCAAAAGTTGAATGTGATGCTTAGAAGAGAGGCCCTGAATAGATCATGACACAATGCTACCACAAAATAAAACTAATGCATGTAATTCTTTTTCCCAAGTCACAGAAGAAATAATGGAAGTGGACAGAGCCTAGATGGGTCACAGGTATAAAGGAACATCTGATTTATCCAAAGCCCCAACACATTACATGTATGACTGATGGAAAGGCATCACACGGAATGTTAGACCCAGTCAATGGAAACAGGCGGTCTCAATCAAAGCTGCAGCGGAGATGCAGCAATATCCTTGGTGCGGGGCAAACTCCATTACACCACTAAACTGTAGCCCCACTAAACACTGACCTCGAGACTTTGCGAGAGTTTTTGTGTGGTGATAAACTTGGAGATCGGGAGTAACTCCTCCTTTTGTGTGACTTCTTTGACTTCCTCTCGTGTGATCTTGATCGTGATCTTGACCTTGAAATTGACCTAGTTCTGCAAAGTAAAACAAAATTTCTTGTACAGACCAGTAAGTATCCAAATGGTGCACTTCTCTGCCTGAACGTCATACTTCTGTTTTGTAAGCAAAGATAAGTTCATGGAATCACCAAGTTCACACCAACAAATTTTTACCCAACTTAGTACAAACGTTATGCCATCAGGAGATGCACTACATATCCTATGATGAAGAATAGCAACAAAGTATCACTAGCTTTACTTAAACAGGAATCACATTTCCCGTTAATAATTCATCAAATGACATGAAACATTTGCAAAAGTTGATTTTTGCTGAATATAAAACAATTCTACGTCTACCTTTCAGTTAGACAGCACTAACCACTGTATCATGAAGACAGACTTATGATTACAAGGTGTGCACACACAGAACAGAAACACACCTACAAATTTAATCAAAATGCTGAGGTTACTGCTGAAAACTTTCACATACTGCCAACACATTCCAGTGGAAAACAGATACAGATCAATCAATAAGTAATGTACAGTGTAAGACTGTAATCTTGAGACTTGTGGGGTGAAGGAGGAAAGATAGCGTCAGCCTTCAATGCTTCGGACTTCCTGCATTCCTTGCAAGTCTCAAGATTACAGTCGCGTACTATAACTAACACACAGTTCCTACTAACCTATATGCAGAGTAGAAGAAAAGTCATTCTTAAATTCCTCCAAAACTTCTTGTTCTCTTGTAAATCGACTTTCGCTTGAAACTACAATTAACAATGTGAGCCATCATTCTACTTGATGGGAGAAGTCTGACAACTGCTTGCTGCCAGATGAGATCAACATACTACAGCAAAGCCAACAACTCACCTGTTCTTCTTTGACTTTTTGCTGTGTTTGGGAGGTGGACTGCGGCTGACTGTCCGTGATCTGCTTCGACTTCGGTGCTTTTCTGAGGCGTGGTTGTTTCGACTGGAATACACAGCACAGAGTTACCATTTTCCCCCCCAATTACAAAATTGTCTTAGTACAAAACAGTAAATACGAGGTGCCCGCTGTGTCTCTTTGCATGCACTGTAACATCACATACATAACTGCATCAATAACAGATTATGGAAATGTCTTACCTGATGAAGCCTCCGCCCCAACGAGGAGACCCACTGTTGTGATGCTTGTCCTTGCTGGAACGTGTTGGTGAGCTGTGACGAGACCGTGAATGTGTAGAAGGTGAGGTGGGACTATTGCTGCCACCACCAGGTGTGTTGTTGCCAGACTGAGCCCCAGTGCCTCCTGCTCCACTTCCAGAGCCTCCGCGCGCCTTCATACGGGCCTCCTGATAGTGGCGCCGCAGTTCCTCCACCCTCCTGTCCAGTTCCTCTGCATTTGGCTTTACAAAAATAAAAAAGGGAATTACTCTAGCACATACTTCCATTTCTGGGGTGGCATGGAAACTGTTAATGGCCACATTGATTTCCATATATTGGCAAGTTTAAGAAAATCCATTATCTCTGTGGCTTATCTCAATCTGCAGACTGACATATTTATGCCACTTAATGATTAAGTAACAAGTACTGATGTTACATAGGGTTGAAATACTGAGTAACAACCACATGACTCACCTTTGGTCTCTTGTAAAGCCTCAGAATCCTGAAGCACACGTCCTGGATGTCCTCCTCAGAGACACGGAAGATGCTGAACCACACCGGCATCTTGGGCAGCGAGATGTTTAATTTTCTCGAGGTGAGATAAATACAGGCACATGCAACAGTCTCTGGTTGGTAGCGTACAAACACGTCTGTCCGCAGAGAGTCATTCATGTAGTTCCTGTGAAGGAGGAAGGCAACATCTTGGAACGTAAACTTTCCTGTGAGCAGGAAGCAAATTTACCTTGCAGTTTCTGACAACAAAATAACACAAGACAGAGAAAAAAACGCACATTTATATTCCTACCAAATAACTTACCAGGCCAACTGCATCAGGTTCTGGTGCTTCTCAAACCCAAGAACTTGCAGGTACAGTACAATTATCTGCAGGAAGAACAGAAACAAGTCATTCTACAAGGTCTTAGGTTAATACGCGTGTTGAAAACCTAACGTAAGATCTGCAGACCTCTAGTGTGATCTGAATTTTATGTTACAAACCAAATGTTCAAGACCGCTTTTCAGAAAAATTATCTGCTTTGAGGTTCATAAAGTAGCTGTTATACTGGGCCAACAACAAGCAAATCTTAACAAATTCTAGTGCACACCCTCAATATACACTTTAAAACCCCTTCAGTGGTTTCAGTGATAAAATGTTCAGACTGAAAAGCATGTCACCCTCAGCATGCAATCACTTTGCAGAAACAACAGAACACAGACGTCTGAAACAACCAATTCAGCGGACATCAAGCTGATCGAAGTTACGAACCTTGTGAGGATGTTTGACGTGGACACAGAAACCCAGCTCCTTGAGCACCCTCCGTTCTGCCTTGATGACCTGCGTCTTGAGGGCGATGTAGTTCTGATCAAGGATCATGGGCTGTATCGTCCTGAAACAGCAAGCAGAGAGGCGCAACTCAGCTTGTGTGACACACCAACCAGAGTGGGCCACAAACACACGCCTCCCACTGCACATTCTTGCACCTCTTCCTGTGTTCTGAACAGCACTACAACCATCCCCCCCCCCTAGCATTTATGTCCCCATATCTCCATGGCACACTCATGAAGATGTAATTAGAATGGTTCAAGTGGACTGGAGCCAGGTTTGAAAAACGGTATATTTAAAATATCTGACAATCTAGCAAGGGGATCAGTAAACACTAACAAGCCGACTGCCATGCGACAAGAGCCAAACAAAGCAGTCAGTCAGTGCTTAGCTCTTCTGGCTCACTCTGTACCTTATTCTATCCTGATTGATCCTCCCCCCCCCCC